CAAATAAAAAATCGAAGTATAAACAATTATTAATACAAGTACATCTAATGGCAGTTTAATAAAACCATTATAATCGATTGTTCACACATTTCTTATGTTTGTCCAATCCTTATTTTCATTTGTCCATCCAAAAGAAATAAGGTATTAACAAATAAAAAACTTAAAATATGAACAATTACTAATATAAGTATTGCTAAAGATAATTTATTAAAGTGACTATTGCAATCGTTTGTACACACAATATTTTAGTTTGTTCAGGCTCAATTTTCGTTTGACCACCCAATAAAAATTGGTCTTTAACAAATAAAAAGCCCAAAATATGACCAATTGATAATGTAATTTTTTCTTATTTCAATTTATGGCAATCCTTTCTTCACACAATATTTTTTTGATATGTACAGTCCTTATTTTCGTTTGCAAATACTTAATTAAATTATTACTGAATAAATACTCACAATATGAACAATATGAAGAATAAAAATAATGCTAATGGCAATTTATTAAAACCAACTATTGCTATCGTTTGTCCACACATTATTTTCAAAAAAAATTATAAGAAATTTAAACATTGAGCCGAATTTCACAGCACCGCCATAAAAACTTTTTGATAATTTCAAAGTGGTATTCGATTGTCCACGATTTGTTCACGTTTGTCCAACCAAAATGTTCGTTTGTCCACTCCCCAAAACGGCGATATTTAAAAAATAAAAAATAATGCAGATTCTCAAAGTGGTTTACCACCTATACTACCGTAGTCCAATATGAAAATATCCATATTAATAATAATAAGCAAAATTTTAATTTTAGGCATAGTTAAATATATTGTTACGCAGCTATTATAGAAAACGTACAGATAGAAAAAGAAGTGGAATGTTACTCATCACCCTACAGTGTGCTGCCGTCGTCATAAGTAAAAGTACAAGTAAAAGAAGATAGAATAGTCCAGAAATATCTGAAAATGTCAAGAATATTCTAGACGACAGTTCAAAAAAGTTCAAAAAGGGTCAAGCAAGCTATATAAGGATGATCCTGACGTCAAATACCAGTTTTATGATAGACGTTACATGTTAATGTTATCAGTTGTATAATTATTGTTAAAGTTGAGTTAAAATAAATTGTGATACTACGGTGTAACATTGGTGACAGCGGTGGGATACAAAGTAGAAGTTCATGGTAAACACTAAATCCACTTAGTACGAAGCAGGCATGGATACTTCAGGCCCACTAGCATGGTTTTTGAAGATGGAAGAGGAAAAGGAATGGCTTGGGAAGGAAGAAGAGAAGGAAAAGGAAAGGCGTAGGAAGGAAGAGGAAAAAGAGAAAGAAGAAAGGCGTAGGAAAGCAGACGTAGAAATTATAAATGGTTTGATAAAAATTCAGGAAAATTTCAAGCAAGAGGTAGGTCAGCTAAACAGTCGAGTAGATATCTTAGCCCAACAACAACAGAACTTAAAAAATAATTTGGAAAATTTACAAACTAATTTAGAAGAGCAACAGGAAAATCTAAAAACTAATTTAGAGCAACAGCAAGAGAATTCAAAAGCTAATTTAGAACAACAACAAAATAATCTAAAAACTAATTTAGAGCAACAACAAGAGAATTTAAAAGTTAATTTAGAGCAACAACAAGAAAAGGCTAGAACAGACTTGGAAAGGCAAATTAGAACTGAAATAGTTGAGTTAGAAAAATAATTCGTAGCCAAGTTCCAGTAAGCAACGTTGAAGCTGAAAACACTACTTCGTCTTCATCCATAACCGAACCAAGCCACATTCGAATCCCAGTTTCACAAAACTATACTAGCAAGACACTTAAGCCACCCACGGACAGACAACATGGGAAACATATCGACATCAATTTAAAGCTGCAGCTAGAGCCAATGGCTGGACCGAGAAAGAGAGCGGCTTCATTGATAGTGTCACTACGAGGTCAGGCAACAACCGTTTTACAGTTACTTCCCCAAGTAGAACCCAGCTATTCATCTTTCGTCCAAGCGTTGAAGGCAAGAAATGGCCAGCAGCATTTAAAAAAGGTATTTCAAAGCCAGCTAAAAGTTCGCAGTCAGAAACACAATAAGAGTCTACAAGAATTCGAAGCCGATATTAAAAGATTGCTGCATCTGGCCTATCGACAGGCGCCTAAAGATTTCTTAGAGCAAATCGGCATACAAGCATTCATTGATGGACTGCAGGATGTGGAAATGCAGCAGGCTCTTCGGCTACAACACCACAAGACGTTGAGTGAGACACTTATTGTAGCCCAGGGATACGAAGCAGCCAAAAGTATATCTAGATCTTCTCGCGCAAAATTGAGAAAAGTTCTATTTCAAGAAAGTGAAGAGGCCACTACTAATACTATCCCTCAACCTACCCTCTCACAAATCTTAAATATTCTGCAAAGTACGCAACGAAATAGCCAAAATTAAAGCAGAAGATGCTTCAATTGTGGAAGAATTGGACACCTTCAAAGATCTTGTCGAAGCCGGGCTCGTTCTATAAATCAAGAATCGGGGAATGATACCAGAAATTCACCTAGATCAACTTTGCGAAGCCCGTCACGAAGTTCATCCAGAAATAATTACAGCAGATATGCCTCCCGGAGAAGCCGGTCACCCACACATAGCCGGCTTTTTAACAATAGTCAAGGAAACGAATAATGGTCGACGCTACGGGGCAGTTGTCAGCCGTAACAGAGGGCCCCAAAATTCGCACTTACACCCTAAATAAAAACTAACAAAACCTATTGGTCAAGGGGTACCTATATCGATAACCAAGAAGACACCTTTGTCCTTGATATTGGTGCAACAAAGTCTTTCATTCGAACAGGGATCCTGCATTGAAAACCACGACCAACTCGAAGAAGCTTGGTTCGAGAAACAGCCACAGGATACACTACTCTTGTTCTAGGCGAGATATCAACAACCATACAGATTGGTAATACCCTGATAGAATACTTATTTTTGGTGGCCGATATTAAAGATCAGTGTGTCCTTGGTATGGACATTATGCAAAATAAGTTTATTATCGACCTTCAAAACAAGATCTTGATAATTGGAAACGAGGAAGTACCCCAAAATTATGAAGTTGTCGTCTCGGCGAAACTTGGCGAGAAATCACACGGCTTACATGTGGGCATTGTTCATAGTCCAAAAATGTCTGGAAATATCATTACCCGTCAAGAATATTCTAGATGACAGTTCGAGAAGGGTCAAGCAAGCTATATAAGGATGATACTGACGTCAAATACCAGTTTTATGATAGACGTTACATGTTAATGTTATCAGTTGTATAATTGTTGTTAAAGTTGAGTTAAAATAAATTGTGATACTAAAAACCGGTGTAACAATATTTTACATATAAATTTTAACTTTACTAAAGAAATTAATAATTTTTCTACACTGGATACACGGTATGACTTTTTATCTTCTTGTAGCACTAATGTTAGACTTTCGCGACTTTACTGTTTCGCTACACCACTATACAAGTTCAAATGGATTTTTCAACTAATCCATCATTATCCAGAAGTTAAAAGGTTTGTGGGGTTTCATGTTTCCTTGCTGGCGTTTCGTGTTAAAGAAGTCCTTTGATTTAATTAAATGCATTCATGATATACTATATGAAGCTTTGAGATGCAGCTATTTTATAATGACCAATTTATTTTTTAATTTATAAATAATATTTTAACGTATTTAGCAACTAAAGTTGAATTTCGCATCATTTCAAGTAATAATTTATATACAAGGTGTCCCATAAATAGGTATATTAAATATTAATGAGTAACATCTTTTTTAAATCCTTTATTTTTTTATAAGATATCTCAATATTGAGAGGTTTTAATTGTTGTATATACAATATTAACTAAACATCCTATATTAAACGTTTTATAATTTTGTTATATTGTAATTGTCATATTGTCAGATTTTATAAAATAATTAAAAGTCAGATTCAAGAAGTTTAAAACTTAATTTCTATTATATTGTGTAATAACTATAATTCCACGAAGCTCTACAATAATAATTATTTAAATTTAAAATAATCACAATAATTACAACTGTGTGCTATTCGTCTACTCTTGCATTAAAAACTGTAACACCCAAAGTGAAAACAAATTTAATAATAAATTGGAAAAAACCATTTGCATGTCGAAGACTAATATCCCGATAGATCAAATTCTTGAAACAGTGTGCGTAGAACACTATGGGAGCTCAAAAATAATTTTATTTTTTTCGTACAGAAAATTTTGGGATTTTTAGAGATTTCTAAAGAATTTGATATCTTGGTTTTCGGATCTTAACCGATAAATTTCCGAAACTTTAAAACCGATTGTTCACTATATAGTCCACGTATTACATTGTTCTGTATAACGAAAACATAATAAACACAGACGAACTGGAGAAGTGTTTGCATGCATTAGCATGTTTCTCCAGACGATTTTGATTAGTAGTTTGTTGGAAATTTTTCGTCATCGAGGTTGGATTCGAAATATTATATTCAAATAAACAATTTGTATGTTATTTGGTTAAAGTAGTGTGCTTAAAACACGAATAGGTGGGATCGAATTCCCCATGGATACCATTTTTTAAAATTTTCATTAAATTTGTTTTTACTTTGGGGGTTCAAAAATAATTTTCATATTTCGTAGTGCTAATTTGAGGATTTCCAAGGAATTCAATAAAAAACTAATGGTCGAACTGGTCAATTTAGTTCTAAGATGCGCAAATTACGATATACGTACTTATATTTTTATGACTAAAATTTTTTAGAAATATGACATCATCGCTACTAAAATGCATCACCATTTTTTATGGTTGGAAGCACCAAATTTTGTTGTCTTTTACATAACAATATTATCGAAATAAAACGTTTTTTCCTAATTTTTACATATAAAGTCACATTTTCTGTAATCACAGCAAGTTTCAAACTGTTCTATTTAAAGTTCTACTTTTTTGTTTAACTTTATTTTCTACTTTATGTTCCACTTTATATTCTACCTTATGTTCTACTTTATGTTCTACTTTATGTTCTACTTTATGTTCTACTTTATGTTCTACTTTATGTTCTACTTTATGTTCTACTTTATGTTCTACTTTATGTTCTACTTTATGTTCTACTTTATGTTCTACTTTATGTTCTACTTTATGTTCTACTTTATGTTCTACTTTATGTTTTACTTTATGTTCTACTTTATGTTCTACTTTATGTTCTACTTTATGTTCTACTTTATGTTCTACTTTATGTTCTACTTTATGTTCTACTTTATGTTCTACTTTATGTTCTACTTTATGTTCTACTTTATGTTCTACTTTATGTTCTACTTTATGTTCTACTTTATGTTCTACTTTATGTTCTACTTTATGTTCTACTTTATGTTCTACTTTATGTTCTACTTTATGTTCTACTTTATGTTCTACTTTATGTTCTACTTTATGTTCTACTTTATGTTCTACTTTATGTTCTACTTTATGTTCTACTTTATGTTCTACTTTATGTTCTACTTTATGTTCTACTTTATGTTCTACTTTATGTTCTACTTTATGTTCTACTTTATGTTCTACTTTATGTTCTACTTTATGTTCTACTTTATGTTCTACTTTATGTTCTACTTTATGTTTTACTTTATGTTTTACTTTATGTTCTACTTTATGTTCTACTTTATGTTCTACTTTATGTTCTACTTTATGTTTTACTTTATGTTCTACTTTATGTTCTACTTTATGTTTTACTTTATTTTCTACTTTATGTTCCACTTTATATTCTACCTTATGTTCTACTTTATGTTCTACTTTATGTTCTACTTTATGTTCTACTTTATGTTCTACTTTATGTTCTACTTTATGTTCTACTTTATGTTCTACTTTATGTTCTACTTTATGTTCTACTTTATGTTCTACTTTATGTTCTACTTTATGTTCTACTTTATGTTCTACTTTATGTTCTACTTTATGTTTTACTTTATGTTCTACTTTATGTTCTACTTTATGTTCTACTTTATGTTCTACTTTATGTTCTACTTTATGTTCTACTTTATGTTCTACTTTATGTTCTACTTTATGTTCTACTTTATGTTCTACTTTATGTTCTACTTTATGTTCTACTTTATGTTCTACTTTATGTTCTACTTTATGTTCTACTTTATGTTCTACTTTATGTTCTACTTTATGTTCTACTTTATGTTCTACTTTATGTTCTACTTTATGTTCTACTTTATGTTCTACTTTATGTTCTACTTTATGTTCTACTTTATGTTCTACTTTATGTTCTACTTTATGTTCTACTTTATGTTCTACTTTATGTTCTACTTTATGTTCTACTTTATGTTCTACTTTATGTTCTACTTTATGTTCTACTTTATGTTCTACTTTATGTTCTACTTTATGTTCTACTTTATGTTCTACTTTATGTTCTACTTTATGTTCTACTTTATGTTCTACTTTATGTTCTACTTTATGTTTTACTTTATGTTTTACTTTATGTTCTACTTTATGTTCTACTTTATGTTCTACTTTATGTTCTACTTTATGTTTTACTTTATGTTCTACTTTATGTTCTACTTTATGTTTTACTTTATGTTCTGCTTTATGTTCTGCTTTATGTTCTGCTTTATGTTCTGCTTTATGTTCTACTTTATGTTCTACTTTATGTTCTACTTTATGTTCTACTTTATGTTCTACTTTATGTTCTACTTTATGTTCTACTTTATGTTCTACTTTATGTTCTACTTTATGTTCTACTTTATGTTCTACTTTATGTTCTACTTTATGTTCTACTTTATGTTCTACTTATGTTCTACTTTATGTTCTACTTTATGTTCTACTTTATGTTCTACTTTATGTTCTACTTTATGTTCTACTTTATGTTCTACTTTATGTTCTACTTTATGTTTTACTTTATGTTCTACTTTATGTTCTACTTTATGTTTTACTTTATGTTCTACTTTATGTTCTACTTTATGTTCTACTTTATGTTCTACTTTATGTTCTGCTTTATGTTCTGCTTTATGTTCTGCTTTATGTTCTACTTTATGTTCTACTTTATGTTCTACTTTATGTTCTACTTTATGTTCTACTTTATGTTCTACTTTATGTTCTACTTTATGTTCTACTTTATGTTCTACTTTATGTTCTACTTTATGTTCTACTTTATGTTCTACTTTATGTTCTACTTTATGTTCTACTTTATGTTCTACTTTATGTTCTACTTTATGTTCTACTTTATGTTCTACTTTATGTTCTACTTTATGTTCTACTTTATGTTCTACTTTATGTTCCACTTTATGTTCTACTTTATGTTCTACTTTATGTTCTACTTTATGTTCTACTTTATGTTCTACTTTATGTTCTACTTTATGTTCTACTTTATGTTCTTCTTTATGTTCTTCTTTATGTTCTACTTCATGTTCTACTTTATGTTTCACTTTATGTTCTACTTTATGTTCTACGTTATGTTTTACTTTATGGTCTACTTTATGTTCTACTTTACGTAACCATTTACATAAAGTTGAACAAGTTAAATATTCTGGTTTAAAATCTGACATTGTTAATTCTAAATTATTTTCGGGGTTTGACAAATCGTCAACTACAGATATGTGAACGTACTTATAATAAAAATATAATTTTGAGCATTCCTCAATAGAAATAAATTCAGGTCAGCAATTTTTGTCGTTCCCAGAAAATATTCCTGCAGAATTGAACTATTTGGGTTTCAATTCCCTCTTTCGCTTTGGATCTACAGTTCTTGTCAAGTCTACAATAGACTGGATTTCCTGAGGTTCTGGGAGCCACTCCGGAACAATATCACAAACGAAAGTCACTTAAGTCGTAAAAACGAAAATCGATATGTTCGATACAAATCAATCCCGTATATCCTACTGACTGCGCCAATAAACTCGCAATAACTTTAACTCCGTTTAAAATATGGTTTATTGAAAATAACTACAAACTATTTGTCTTTATAAATATGTTGACAGTATCAAATATAGCAACTGACTGTCATATCTATGAAATATAAATCTGTAACAAATAAAAAACTAAATTAGATAAAAGTGAGTAAAATAGAATAGAATAATGAGAGAACGTGAGTTTCGTAAATTCAGCATTCTTCCTCAAGGCCCTTTCAAAATAGCTACATATCTAAAATTGCCTAACCCAAAAGAATATACTGGCCAATATTTTTGCAGAATTTCAGCCAGATTACTGATTAATGGAGGTGGAAATTTAACAAGTTTCAAACGCCACGGAGGATTGAAATTTTTGGCCGTGGAAGAAGGCTACATCTAACATTCAATTCAGAACAAAGTAAAAACAGCAAATAAAATTCTTAACGTGGAAAATAAACAAAACCAACCTGGAACTTCAAGAATCAAATCCAATATTATTGATAACATAAATATTATGATTCCTAACTTGACATCAACGTTTAATAATTGTACTTTGCATAAGTGCACATTCAACATAAATATTAATAACAAATAATTTAATTTCGTTATAAATTTTGAGCAATAAATATTCTGTTCCTATAGTATTGTCAAATTATTGGTGGCAGCACAAAAACTATTGTACGTGCTACACTTGGAAAGTGTATTTACACAGCTCGCATGCCTCGCCCTATAAAGTATCCCTTTCCAAGCTTGACACGTAAATCACTACTGTTATTATTATTATTTTATAGCTTATTCCTTTACCTTTTCTAGGATGATATTATACTGAGTAGGTAGAGTGCAAATTCGCAATAAAACTGTTTCTCTCCTTAATAAAATCGATAGGTCTCGGAGAATTTTGAGATTTTCAATATTGTAAAGATTTTAGGGGTGAAAAGTTTTGAAATTGACACTCTCGAAGATCATCCGCTAATGAATATAGAAAAGGGATAATAATTAATAATCTACCACAAGAAAGTTGATATTAGGGCACAGAAATCGGTCTATATTTGCATTTCATGTTAATTACCGGGGTAAGTTTAGAACAACTTAGTGAAATTGAGGAAATGTTTGTCCACTAATAATTTAAGCATGTACATGAAATTCTTAAGCGACAAATAATTGATGCGAAGTTGTAGAGGTTTAATGCCTTACGTATGTATTTGGGTCATTTTGGTTTGGAGATTAAATGTAACAAGCGATATATTATTGTACATATCTTAAAGCAAAAAATGTCTGAAGCAAAACCATGTACGCAGATGACTTGTCTTACAAATTAGCAAATCAACGAAATTATAGACATCTAGAAATATTTTGATGTAGCATAGGGCCTTTAATCCGCTATTGTCATTTGGAAAGTATATGACGAAACTTAATTGTAAAGTTTTTCAACACCAAATTGATAGAAAATAAAGTACAGATCTACTAAGGGAATTACTTGTACAAAGATTTACTGTAAACCAAATTTAAACCAAAATTAATTATACAAATTACTGTAAAAATAATCGAGGAAATTCCAAAATATATTTGCTGTACTGCACCTAAATTTGAAGAATATTTTATCTTTTGTGGAAAGTACCCCGAGTATCTTAATTCTTATTAATAAATCTGGTTTACAATGTTAACTAATATAGGATTTAAAAAGAAAGATGATCCCGGCAGGGCCTTATGGAACTTTCTCATGTTTTCAGTAAAAGATTTAGTTTTTTAACCCTTTCAGTCCCACTTTTTATTTTCAATATTACAAGATTTAAAACAAAAAATGAGTAATATGTTTTAGAAATATATTTTCCAGAGTACATATAGTCTCAAAAACATTGATAAGTGGGACGTATATGTCTCACTAATAAAATTAAATAAACACCCCACCGGTATATAAAAAACTAAAAACAGTTTTTTAAATGTTTATTTTCAGGTATGGTACGGTGTATAACAATTTTTGCACATGGGTAATTGGCACATTCTGCATAGAGTCGTTGTTCTTTTTTTCTATGTTTTGTTTAAAACACCTTGCACAACGTCGGCGAGTTTTGCCTTCAACTGGTAGATGCTCCCCAATATTTAGCATATGTCTTGATTTTTTTGATGGTCTACCAATGGATCTTTTTCGAACGTGTACTTTTGTTTTTTCTTAACAAGTTTTTCGGCAAGTTGGATTACAAAATCTAGAAATGGTTATTTTTGTCTGTGAAGTTCATTATATATTATCCAGCTATTGACTGCGGCAACCATTAGTAATCTAAAAAAACCATTCTACCATTTACTGGAATTGCGGCCGCTATCATATGAACCTGACATTTGTTCAGCTAAATCCACTCCACCCTTGAAATTATTATAAAAATCTATTGCTTCTGGACATTCTATATCTTTTCGTATGTCATCTTCCCAGCAAACCATTCTGTTACATGTTCCCTCCTGTTACATAACTAAGAAGGATAAAATATACTTAGACTGTCTTGTATGCACTTTTATGTGTTATTTATGGAACCGAACACATAAGTTCAAACTTAGCACCATAGTTATATACCATTGTATATAATTAAAATATATGTTACAAAATTACATATCCGTTATATAAATTTCTTCACGTAAAGGTTATATTAATTTATATATCTATATGTAATCTACATTAAAGTAACAATTTGTACTAAATTATTTCGTTCAAAATGTTACATAGCGTATATATAAATAAATGCTGTTGACCAAACGGTCCTTGAAATACGCATGTTTTTAGGTAAGTAGGTATATCTGGTGCATTATTTTTAGTAGTGTTTCAATGTTCAATGGCGGCTATAGGCGTTTTATGGTGGTACCTGTGGCATTTATGGATTTATTGTGGAAAATAGTAGGTATATTATGTTTTTATAATGAAATTGAGTTATTATATGTGTGTACTATATTTCGATGATACATTTGAGGTGTAAATATTAATTTTTGTTCTCTTTTCAGGTCATGCTTGATATGGGGCGCTGAATTTTGAGGACGTGGATGGTCGTTAATTGCAGATGTTTTGTGATTTTTATGATGAATTTAGGTTATTATATTTGTGTGCAATATTTTTATAACACATTTTTGGTTTCGGTTATGAATTTGTCCAATAAAATTATTGATATACCTAACAAATACGTTTAAATTACTTTTCTTTATTCCTCCAAATATTTTCGACGTTTTTTTTGTAAGTATTTGTCATACAGTGTGTCTACTTAAGAACCATATAGAAAAACTTTATTATTAGTTATGTGAAAAAATGTATTCTAGATAAAAAGCCATGTATGATCCAAAACTTAAAATGCAACCATCGGATATCAATTTTTTAAGCTGTTTGCCAAAAAATATGAATTTTACTCAAGAATAAAATACTTTTATTTTTTACAATACAGAAGAATGTTATAAAGTAAAATTATTTTAAATTAAAAGATATATTTAAATATGCAATTACAGCGATTTAGCATTAAAATTCAGGTTTGGTGATTAATTAATTTATAACTACAAATAATTTATAATGTAAAACGTAAATAATCACCTAACCTGAATTATCATGCTAAATGACTATAATTGCATATTTTAATATAACTTTTAATTCAAAGTAACTTTACTTTATAATATTCTTCTGTATTGTAAAAAATAAAGGTATTTTACTCTTGACTAAAATTCATATTTTTAGAAAAACCTCGTATAGGGATTATATCTGATGGTTGCATTTTAAGTTTTAGACCATGCAGAACTTTTTATCAAGAATACTTTTTTTTACAAAGTCAATAATACAAGAGTTTTCCATATAGTTCCAACTTAAGTAGACACACACTGTATAACTAATACCTACATTTACATACCTTCATTTATATAACATTTATAATACTAATGTTATATGAAAAAAGTAATGTATATGTGCTGTAATAATGAAGCATATTAGATGTTGCAATGGTAATATAAGTGTTACATGTCTTCCGATATATAACACTGTTCCTTACATGTACTTAACCCATTACATCACATATAAGGAACCTGCTATATAACAAAATTAGGTCATTTTTCACAGTAATCACAGGAGTTATTATGTAACATGTAAGTTACTTTGTTATGTAACACGGAACTAGTACATGTAAATGATACATATATGTTACATGTTTGTGTTTGCTGGGTTTGCCTCTTCGTTGAACAATAGTAAAGTTTTTGAGGTCGGCAGTTGCTAACCACTGTAACTTCGTTGGTGCCTTGCCATTTGACAAAATGGTACTATACTTATTTCCAAGAATTTCGGACGCTCCTCTGTTTAATTTTTTTGTAATCTTTGGTATATTTTTTCTACTCACCATAACAGTTCCAACTGATGAAAATGGAATGTTAGTCATAAGTTTTACAAATGTAAAAAATCTGTCGAAACATAATACATCTGTTGACTTTATTCTACTGGCTATCTTGTATAGAACTCTTTCGCCAAGAAAACCATTGCAAGAATCACATCTAATCCATATTTTGATTCCTCTTTTAGTGGGTTTTATTGGTAAATATTGCTTTAGTCCAGAACGGTCTTTACTATTGGATAATAACAATGTAAATCTATTTCTAGAAATACTATTTTTTATTAATGTATTTCCTACTGAAGGATGTGTAGACCAATAATGTCTAAGGCCTGGCAATCTGTTATAACACATTACTAGGGAATATCCTAAAACAATTGCAATTTCACCTACATCGCTTTTAGTAATGCGTTTCTTTTTCTGTTTTTCTTATATTGTCCTTTTATTTATACATTCAGAAATAAAGATGAATAAACGTGGAGAAAACAATTTTTTGAACACCTCAAATTGTGTCAAAGATCTTGTAAATCCTTTGTTTAACTCACACGTATTTTTTGCAGGAATGCTGAACCTTGGTAGAAAGTCATCAGAGAGCTTCATCTTGAGTTTTATTGTGTTCCTGTATTTCTTGCTTTTGATCTTCATTTTCTGTGCGATCATCGTTTCTACATTCTATTTTACTATCTAAAGATTCTTCGTCATCTTTACTTATTTCCCCATCCTCAGCTGATTTGGAAGATTTTATAATCTTTATCTCTATCATTATCGATATCTTCATCTTCAGAAACATTTGCCCAATAATTTAATTCTTTTTTTGATAATACTCTCTTCGACATACTGTAACAAAAAAACCACTGGGTTTTATACGTCCCCCTTGTAAATACCACAGGGATTATTTTGTCCCAGTTAAAAATGGCATGCAGACACACACACTGTTAAATATTGTTGTATTTTGTATTGTTGTTGTTGCCATGAATTTTGTAATATGTTTGATAGAGAGAATAAAAAAAAAATAGATTTGTCAGACGTTTTTGTCAGAGTCATATATCTTTTTATAAGTCTTATTCCATTTCATCGGTCTGCATTTGACTAATTCCTAATTATAGGTCATAATTAGAAATTGCTAAATATGGCGACCGTGACAGGACCCGGTGGTATAGAAAGGCTGATGAAGGCGTTAGATCTACAGAGGACGTCTTTCGAGAAGGTATATGAAACAGTCATGAATCAGTTTCCGCTGGAACAACATAATATCACAGAAGTACAAGGGTATCTGAAGCTTCTTGAACAAAAAATTGAAGCAATATCTGCACTCGACAAAAAGCTCTTCGATTTCCTGGTGGAAAATGATTCAGAAGATATCGACATTGATGGTGAGATGGCAAAAGCAGATCAATATCACTGTCAATTTAACACTCTAAAATTTAAGGTAGAAAATTATTTAAATACAGTAACCACTAGGGCTAGTAGTAGTCGGTCTAATTCATCATTTCAAAGTAAAATACTCCTTCCAAAAATAGAATTTACGAAATTTGGAGGAGATGTTCAGAATTGGTTACTTTTTTGGAGCCAATTTCGTAGAATTCATGAAGATGAGGAATTAGAAATAGAAGATAAATTTTTCTATCTGAACCAAGCAACAGAACCTAATTCTAAGGCAAGACAAATTGTCGAGAGTTATCCTCTTACAAGAGAAAACTATTTCAAGGCTATTGAAAGTCTAAAATCTCGTTTTGGCCGTGAAGACTTAATTATAGAAGTCCACGTTAGAGAGCTTTTGAAATTAGTTTTAAATAATCATAATTTTAAGTCTAGATTAAGTGATTTGTATTGAGTGATAGAATTGAAACTCAACTTCTTTCCTTAGAATCCCTCAATGTCACTTCTGATCAATGCGCTGCAATGTTGTTTCCGTTGATAGAATCATGCTTGTCTGAAGAACTTCTTCGAGTTTGGCAACGAAGTTCATTTTTTTGTGCTACTGATTCTATGAAGAAACGTCTAGATCAACTGATGAAATTTATGAAAGAAGAAGTAGAAAATGAGGAAAGAATATCACTTGCAACTGCAGGATTCACTAATTCAAAACAAAAAAAATATCCTACATCTTCCGCTGATTTGATACCTACTGCGACATTAGTTAACACTAGATCCATAAAATGCGTTTTTTGTAAAAAAGAACATAACAGCGTGGATTGTCCTACTGCTCTGAAACTCGTATGTGGAACGTAAGAAAATATTGTCGTCTAAGGGTTGTTGTCATCTGTGTTTGAAATTTGGACATATTGCGAGGAAATGCAGATCAGCGGCTCAGCTTAAATGTAGTAATTGTGGTGAAAAACATGTATTGGTCATGTGTGCTCATTTAACAGAGACTAAAAATTCTGAAGAAGTTGAAACTAGTCGTCAGGTAACAGATAATCTCTCCAATCATACTTCTTTTGCTCAAGTCTTCTTGCTAACATTGGTTGTAACATTAAAAAGTAAAAGTTGTGAACGACAAGTTCGAGCAATTATTGATCCGGGTTCTCATTGGTCTTACATCAGGAAGTCTACTGCTATTTTAATGGGATTTGAAGTTCTAGGGTCGGAGGAAGTTCTTCATTCACTATTTGGGGGTTTTGAGTCAGAAGTTATGCATCATAAATGTTACCACATTGTTGTACAAAGTCTTGATATGAAATATTCTTGTAATTTTGATGTTTTAGATCAACCTATAATTTGTAGTACCATTGATTTTATTCATGAAGGCCCTTGGATGGAAGAGCTTCAAGCCCTGAATATAAACTTGTCTGATACAAAAGGTGGTCCTATTGAACTTCTTATTGGAGCGGATTTGGCTGGTTTTTTCTTATCAGGTCCTAGTCATCGATTGGCATGTGGATTAGTTGCTTTTCAAACACCTTTAGGATGGACTCTTATGGGAAAAGTCGCGAACTATTTTCAATCTAAATTTTTTCATTCCTCTGTTTCGATGCTCAATA